ACACGGGCATGGAAAATGAAATGAAATGAGATTTAACGTCTTACTGTTCTGCTTCAAACTGGTCTAATGAAGACGGGCATACGCCATACAGTGTTCTATGAGGGAATTTTTTTCCGGACAGCGGCACTATGGGCTGCTCTTATATCAAATTCCAATTGTCAAGGGATCGTTTACGTGCACGCCAATGTGTACACGGGACCTCGGTTTTCCATGCCATCCGAACGACTAGACAGCTGTCCTTGTCAGGCCCTCCGTCCTGCATCACTGACAAGGGGGAACCACCCCGGAAAATCTGGATGAACCTTCTCGGACAATACAGGGATCGAACACCCGGGAATGGTGAAGAATTTAAACAGAAGGAGCTTTCCTGTAAGCCACATTTCTTTTTTTTTATCTTTCAGCGAGAATCATGGCGTCAACTACCATCGGAGATCCCACAGCCATCGGTGCCTTTCGTGTTCTGTATGCAATTTTTGGAACAATTTTCAACTGTGCAGCGATTGTAACTATTCTTTCAAGTCGTAATCTGAGATCTAAAGGAATGTATATAATAATTGTAGCTATATCCTTTGCTGGACTGCTACAGAGTATCTTCGTAAATTCCGTATATGCCCATTTTTTTCTTGATAGCACGCCTGGTTATGACGATATGTGTTCAATATTATTTGGTATATACAGCGGTAACATCGTTAATCTGCCTCACCGTAATCATGTACTGTTTGGTCTTGTTATTTGTGAACCATCTAATACATCGACGTAGTCCAAATGAAACTAGAGAAAGAAATACGGGAATCGTCGGCACGATGTTAATCTGGGTGCTATCTGTAATCGTACTAGTACCGGTCATAAAAACACAGTCGACGTCAAAATGTTTCATTATGACCAATTATAACTTGCTTGTTGGGTTGTATGTACTGGAATTTTTCCTACCCACTTTTATCCTGTGTGTCGCGGGGATTATACTTATCATCAGCCACGCATCCAGTCGTCAACCTCGAGCCATGGTTCAGGATGGTCTAACCTACCAGAGAGCTTCCATATTTCCTACTCATATTGTAGTGGCTGGGTTTGTAGCCGTAGTCATGAACATGCCTTCGAGCATACTGAATGTGGTGAAATTCACCTGTTATGGTACCGTTTGTAACTGGTATTATTGGTTACAGCTCATATTTGGGATGGTGGCCGCGGGATATTGTGTCGTTTTACCATGTACCTGGCTTCTGGATAACGATTTCCGACAAGCTTTTCTACGAAAACAAACGCCGAACAGAAATATGGCGCCAATGGCGGCTGCTTACAACAACTACCCACAACAACCAAATCAAGTTATGTACAACAACCAACAAATACCGTTTTCGCACAGTGTACCGTACGTTGCCCCCAACACAGAGTCTTCAGAAAAACCTCAACAACCACACCTATAATGATCTTACTTATTCATTTTTCCTGCTTACAGATTATTGTATTAAAAGGCAAAAAAACAATCGGCATTCCTCGAACATTTGGGCGGGTTTGAATTTATTATAAGGTTTATGTTTACGCATATATTGTAGACATTCGGCACACAGAGATCCATCTACTTCATGCTGCGACATTATATCTCTGCCCTAAATGGCCGCCATGTCCAAAAATAAGTATATTGTTTTCTATTTGGTTTCACATCTGTCAAATACACACAAAGATAAAGTAAACGTTCTCAATTTTATAAAATGGAAGAAGAATAACTACTTTAACAAAATTCTCGAAGTATACTTAGTGTTTTCGACTAGAATCGTCAATTAAAATGTCAGTCAATAACTTAGTGTCTGTTCTCAAGCGGAGCTAACTGTAAACAGACAGTCTAAGTTTAGTATGCATTGTATAAATTACGACAAAAATTAACTTTGACGATCACCATTAAAGATTTTTTATTTCATCAGGTATTATAGTCTTTAGCGGATTTTATTTGTGAACCACGAAAAACCATTCGGCACTCCTCGATATTTCATGCGTTTATGTGGATATATTTTAAATGGGGTTTAACGTCCTACTCTTCTGCGCCAACTGGGAAACTGACGACGGACATACGCAACGCAGAATGTCATGATTAAAATTTTATGGAACATCGGCGTTTCCGCCACTCTTAATCGAATTCTATCAAGGGATCTCTTACCCGTTTTTGTTCCATTCGAACTACTGGGTACACCTTTATTGACAGCCCAACGACTAGACACATCTACCATACCAGGTCCTCGGTTGTTTTCCACATAGAGGGGGTGATATTACAATGTTTATCTTAATATTGTATAACGTGCCATAAAACTATATTGTTAATGTTAGTTAAAGAAAATATTTCAAATTGACAGAGGGCCTGACAAGAACAGCTGTCTAGTCGTGTGGATGGGACGAAAAACCGAGGCCCCGTGTATACATTGGAGTGCACGTAAAAGATCCTCTAGAAGTTGGAATTCGATATAAGAGTAGGCCATAGTGCCACTGCCCAGGCAACACTTCCCTTATAGCACACTGAAAAGCGAATGTCCGTCTTCATTAGCCCAGTCGGAGCAGAACAGTAGGACATTAAACCCCATTTCATTTCATCTCAAATTGAAAGATATAACTGATTGTTTTAGATATGGATAGTTGCCGGACATATATTATGGGGACACCTGCAGTGAATTGTTTTAATTGATATATGAATTAAACTTAGCCCTGCTGTCATTCAGAATAAATCGTATATCAACTTAAAGGGCACATGAAATGGAGTTTAACGTCCTACTGTTCTGCTCCTAACCTGGGCTAATGAAGACGGGCATACGCCATACAGTGTGCTATGAGGGAAATTTTGCCCGGACAGCGGCGCTACGGCCTACTCTTATATCGAATTCCAACTGCCAAGGGATCTTTTACGTGCACGCCAATGTGTACACGGGACCTCGGTTTTTCGTCCCATCCGAACGACTAGGCAGCTGTCATTGTCAGGCCCTCCATTCTGCATCACTGACAAGGGGAAACCACGCCGGAAAATCGAGATGAACTTTCTCGGCCAATGCAGGGATCGAACACCCGACCTCCAGGCTAGCGAGCCAGCGCCTTACCCACTTAGCCACGTGATCCCCCTGTTGGTGATAAAAGCATTTATCTTAATACAAATTATGACGATATGTGTTGACAATTATTCGCTTGAGGCTATTTTTAATTGCAAAAAGTACCAAAATATGCACCAAATGTTGCGGAGATCACATCGACACTACAATATTGCAGCTACACGCTGTGTAATGGCTAAACTATTTATTATTATAGTATTTATGTATCCTTTATATTATAAAAAGATCCTATATAATGGTTTGGTGTTATGTTGTTAGCTCTATTGGGGTTCATATTATTCTTGTATAACAAACAGATCTTCTCAGTCAAGACATTTTATTCAAACCTCGTGCAACAACCATCAACAGGTTGTGATACCATCAATAGCTTCGGTTATCACACATACATTACTAACACTACATTTACGACATACTTACATTTGGTTATGCAGTAGATATTAATTGCATCATGGACGGATAATCTTCCTTTGTTCGTTGAATAAGCAGCTTATTTTCCCTCTAGTAGATTGGATGGAGCTTCACCGTGCAATAACTAGACATTTTCAATGTTATTGCACACTTTTGCTGGTTTGCACTTGTTATAGTAGAAATCATATAGAGAAGTGGTGGGTTTTCTGTGCAATAACAACGAGCATGGACAGTATTATTGACATATATAACCCCGCCCCCATTTCACCACACCACCCGCGAAGACGGGACTAATATTCACGTGGATGGATGGGCTCTTAAAATCGCTGTTTTAAATAAGAGACAATTCTTAATTTTGCTCACTGCCACTTAAATTTATATTTAGATTACCGACATCAATAAATTAATGATGCATGCATTTAGGCCTTAGGCCCAACCACTTTTGGAGAAATCACACTAAAGAAAACAAAAAATTATTTCAGTTCTTACAGTCAATTTTATACAGTATTTTACATGAAATTAAATTTACAATTAGTAAAATTTACATTGCCACAAGTATTAATTATATCGGACAAACTGGTTGATTTTGATGATTGGTTTGAAACTTTTTGACATTTCGTCTAAGTAAACGTTTGGAAATCGTTGAAAAAGAGCCATAAAATCGAGCAAAAAAGCCAGTTGAACACGCGACTCGAAAATTGTCAAGGCGAGCGAGGCATTATGATGGGAAAAAAGACGAATCTATTCCCTAGCCACTTCACTATTTAAGCCTTGTAACTTCTACTGTCCACACATGAAACAATGCTACATCAAGTTGCACTAATGCGCGTCGGTGATGGGCATGAGTGTATAGTAGTATACGCCGCCGATTCCACAAGATGGTATCATTGATGTCTGTCTATAGTCACTCTATAGGATTAGGGCACCGTCAGCTAAACAACAAGAATTCGTTTGAAAGTGGAAGCATTAATTAGACCAGACTGGTGTGTTTGAGTCGATGGTTTGAGTCATTTGGGATCCGTGCAACGGGTTGGGAACGGACATATTTGGGTCTGAGAAAAGGCACTTTCAGCAGTAAAAAAGGGCACTGTCGAAAATTAGTCTGGTAGTTTACCTTAAGATAATTCGTCTTCAATTTCATCTAAACTTTGGGATAACACCAAGTTATCTTCATCGTTGCTGAATAGAGTTTGTGTTTGTAGGGACATATTTTCTTAACCAATTTTCTTAACCATACACGATATACACTAGTCAAAATTATAATGACGCGAAGACAGTTGACCTTTTAATGGTACAAGCGACAATGTGCGCATGCACGTGCATTGGTATGATTGGTTGACGAGACACATGCCTGTCCATCCCTCTTTTCATTATTGACAGGTGTCAATGTTACAAGTCATTTATAGCACGCTTCATTCTGTAACGGGCTTAAATACCTCGCCTGACGGCTCTCGGTGTTTAAACCTGTTAATTCATGAAAGCCGTGCAAAAATATAACTTACCTCGAGGGACTGATTGAATGAACCCGGATCTTATAGGTGGAGAAGGCATTCAGGGGCCTGTTTCATGGAAATCCAAATTTTAGTTATTTGATTGGATAATATTAAATTGATTTTAGTCCTTAGCCAATCAAAATAGAAGTATCTACTAAAATTTAGATTTTTTATCTCTAGTTAAGATTTCGTGAAACAGGCCCCTGTGTTAGTAAAAGACGGTAACGATTGTCAATCAACAAATGTAAGTAATTTTAGATTTCTTTCCTATAATATTTAGTATTTTATGTTTTACCATGAACATGAAATAAAAGCGGGGATTGGGTGGCCGAATGGTCTGATGGCTGCGATACATTCGGTATAGATCATTAGTTCTGCCATTGAGTCAAGTGATGTGGTTTCGAGCCAAATTTTGGATGTGACGCGGAGATGTCCAGCCTGGTGTTGTTTTTTTCTGGGGCCCCCGTGTCCTCCCACAGCTAATGACCCCTATATGAGAAAATAAATTATTGAAATTAAATTGAACCCTATGTATTAGTCCCGATATGACCTAGTTTGTCTCGAGTGGACGTTAGACCCATTTTTTCTCTGACTGTGAAAGAAATGGACTGTGGGTTTATCCCACCATATTACGTGTAATTTGGACAGTAGGGGTAATCGGGAATACGTCTATCACATTTATTAAAATAAAAATACATGAATTCTTCGTTTCGTATGGAGGTCTTGTAGCTGCTAAATTTCTAGGTGTTAGAGGTATGTCGTGAACATACCTGGGGATGGTGACAGAGGCTATGATTACCATGAAGGTTCATAGAATTTATTTTTGTCTTTCAGTGAGAACTATGGCGACATTTACCACCGTAGACCCCACAATCATTGGGGCTTTTCAGATTCTGTTTGCCATTTTTGGAACGATTTTGAACTTTGGAGCGATTGTAACTATTCTTTCCAGTCGTAATCTGAGATCAAAAGGAATGTATATAACAATTGTAGTTATATCCTTTGCTGGTCTGCTACAGAGTATCTTCGTAAATTCAGTATCTGCCCGTTCACATCTTGATCACGCAGCCTTTTATGATAATGATCCGTGTCCAGTATTGTCCGTTACATTGCTAACACTAGATATTTGTCTAACAGTGAACATGTACTGTCTGGTCTTGTTAATTGTGAACCACCTTATACATCAACGTAGTCCAAATGAATCTAGAGAAAGAATTACTGGAATCGTCGGCACGATCTTAATCTGTCTGTTATCAGTGATCGTCCTTGTTCCAGTTATAATAACACAGTCTACATCAGTCTGTTATGGTGATGGCAGTTTTTATCTGGAGCTTGGGTTGCAGGTAATCGAATTTTTCCTACCTACTTTCATTCTGTGTGTCGGGATAATTATACTTAAGATCATTCTCGGACGACGATTCATGGTCCCAGGCGGTCTTATCTACCAAACATCTTCAGTAACTCATATTATAGTAGCTGTATTTATAACCGTTGCCACCACCATGCCGGTGCTAATAATGGGTTTACATTTGAAGCGTGTCGGTTTTCCTCGTACCTCTACTAACTGGAATTCTTGGCTACTGTGGGTGTTTCGAATGATTTATGCGTGTAACGTTGTCGTTATACCATTTTCCTGGCTTCTGGATAACGAATTCCGACAATCATTTCTAACGATGTTTAGGCGGAAACCAAAACCGAACAGAAATACAGGACCAATGACCGATTACAGCAACAACGCACATCAACCAGACCAAGTTCTGTACACCAACCAACCAGCACATACCAGAAATACAGCACCCATGACCGCTTACAGCAACTGTCAACACCAACAAGACCAAGTCCGGGATATCAACTAACAAAAACATACTAGAAATACTGCACCAATGACCGCTTACAACAACTTACACCAACTATACCAAGTTCTGAACACCAACCAACAATCACATCCAAGAAATACAGCATCGGTGATCTCTTACGGCCACAACGTACACCAGCCAGACCAAGTTCGGGAAACCAACCAACAAAAACATACCAGAAATACTGCACCAATGACCGCTTACAACAACAACAACTTACACCAACTATACCAAGTTCTGAACACCAACCAACAAACACATCCAAGAAATACAGCATCGGTGATCTCTTACGGCCACAACGTAGACCAAGTTCGGAACACCAACCAACAAAAACATATCAGAAATACTGCACCAATGACCACTTACGGCAACAACGTACTACACCAAGCGGACCAAGTTCTTAACACCAACCAACAACTTAACACCAACCAACAACTTAACACCAACCAACAATCATATCCAAGAATTACAGCACCAATGACCACTTACGGCCACAACGTACACCGACCAGACCAAGTTCTTAACACCAACCCACAAAAACTTACAGCATCAATGACCGCTTACAGCAACTACTCACACCAACCATTCAACATAGCTTTGTAAATACTGAACGGAATTAAACCATTTGTTGAACCATAAATATTCCTATTAGTGTTCGTCTTTCACAATATTGTAGTTAGCAAGGGATTCATATTGCACTAGAATCACGCAATACGACTTTAAAGGAAAAGGTAAAGTTAACTGAGTGTAATTGAGAGTCCAGTTTGATATATATATTATAAATTCTTCTTCATCTTTTTGTTATTGTGGGATTTTACCCCCGCTTCCACGTAGGGTGATATCGCATACAACCATGTTCTAAGAGTCTGGCAGGACCAGCCAGTCGTGACATGAGAGGCTAGGTCTAGCAAAGGGTGAAAATGCAAAGCGAGTAGGAAATTTTATCATCTCCATTATCTCGGTTAAAAGTGCAGCCGTGCTTTCATTTCAAAGGCGTTGCCCCTGGATACAAGTAAGTGAACTATATTCGGATCAAGACCACGGAGATAGTGGAAGGGCCAGATGTAAAGATTTATATTTTATATATTTAAGATTTGCGATTTGCGATCGAAATTGGCCAGCGACTAATTTCTTTCGTATAAAAGCCCCCACCCCACCCCCTTATTAAAGCTCGTTTTCAGAATTGATGTGGATAATTCGCTCTTTTCTTCATCTTGCGCCTTTGTGATAGTGTGTCATATTGTATAATTGTTTTTAATATGTATTTGGTGTATTGTTCCTTTAGTATATTTGTGGTTTGTTCCTTTCAGGTTAAATCTTAAGCTGGTTACTAATTTCAATAACAAGTCTAATCTGTACTCGCTGTTAACTCGATAAACTAATCACAAGTTGTGCATCTTGAGGATATTATACTTCTCAGATATTTAGGGTTATTTCGTTAAAGATGCATTATGTAAGATCTAAATCTGCCTATTGCAGGTCTTTCGTTTGGCCCCAAATGTTAAAAATGTTATATAAATCAGGCATTATGTAAGAGCTAAATCTGCCTATTGCAGGTCTTTCGTTTGGCCTCAAATGTTATATATATCATTAAATAAACATTTATATACATGCTAAGCCCATAATCAACTCTCTAGAGACTCGGATGCTTTTGATTTTCAACGGATTTAGGATTTAAACAATTGGCAAGTTATCATAAAATGGATAACCGTAACAACGGTAGCAATGACAATCGAGACTACACAATTCTTGGAACAACAAAAATTCCGCTCAGAATGAAGTAATTTGACATATTCCGGTTTTCGGCTCTTTATCTTACATAATGCATCTTTAAATTCTGTCTTGTATTGCTATATTTTATATCGTATTGTTATTGGAATAGAATTACTAGTTTTATAATAACCCCCCCCTTGTACTGGGTGTGTATTTATATTATTATAAGACCTCAATGTGGGAGCCAAGGTGGCAGAGTAGGCAACACGTCGGCTCGCTAACCTGGAGGTTCCGAGTTCGATCCTTGTGTAGGCCGAGAAAGTGGTGCAGGAAGGAGGGTATGGCAAGGGACAATGTATAGTCGTTCTGATTGGTCGAAAAAAGAGCTCAGGGGTACACATTGGGGTGCACGTAAAAGATTCCTTGACAGTTGAAATACGATATAAGAGTAGGCCGTAGCGCCGCTGTCCAGGCAAAAAAAGTCCCTCATAGTACACTGTATGGCGTAGCCCAGTCGGTGTAGAACAGTAGGACGTTAAAACTCATTTCATTTCATTTATTTTACGTGCATGCCAACTAGTCCCAGGTTCGACCACAGAGTTGGCTAAGAACGTTCTTCGGAATGACGAGTGTTATAGCTGGGTTTAAAGTGGCGACGTATGATAAGCAGTTGAGGAGCTATACTAAACCTTTTTGGATTGATACTACTACTACTACTACTACTACTTCTACTAGATAACCTCCATCCAACCATAAAGGGGGGTTGGACGGCCGACTGGTTAGGGCGTGTGCGCGTGGTATCACAAAGTCTGTACGTCACAAGGAGTAGGGTCACCTGGTCAACCACGTGGGTTTTCTCCGGGTCTCCTTCGGTTTCATCCCACTGCTAAAGACCCCTACGCGCAAACGAATTATTGAAATAAAATTGAACCATATGTTAGTCCCGAAATGACCTAGTTTGTGTCAAGTGGACGTTACCCCCCGCCCCTTCTCCGACCATAAACCGCCACTTTAAATTCGCGTATAACACTCGTCACCTCCACACCGCAACCACAACAAACTGATCAGCGGCAAATATTCGCTTGGTCGCTACTATCACTGAAAGGGGTGACACCGGGCAAGTTAAGCTTTCAATATTAACTTTTGTTCTTATGCAAATTAATTTTAAAACAATTTTTTAATTATTAAGAAAAAATATAAATGTGTTGGAAGTATATCTGGCCCACAAATATTTCGTTTTTGGTGTAAATGAGTACCTAAAATACATGTAGTAAGCGAACGCGTAAAATGAATAAAAGGCACCAGCATTGCCCGGATTAGTTCGTGTTATTACGTCCAATATAAACACTCCACGTGCTATTGAGGCCCTGGAGTCGGAAATGAGTGCATTAATTCTGCACGGATCTGTTTGTGTTACAACGTCCGATGGACACAACGCACGTGCTATCGAGGTCGTGTGATGTGAAGTCACACGAAACCATATAATGCACGTGATCTTTTAAAGGTCAGTCATCTTCTACTGAGTTGAAAGAAGGCCTTTAGATTACCGCTGTGAAACAATATTAGCACCTCCATCCAACCATAAACCGCCACTTTAAATCCGTGTATAACACTCGCTCATTATCTCCATGTACACCTCTATGCAACCATTACCCTCTACTTTAAATCCATGTATAACGCTCGCTCGTCTCGCTACCAACTTACACCTCTGTCCAACCATGACCTAGTTTACCTGTATTAAACTGTTAGCCGACTATTTTCACCTGGGATATATATATGCCATATATACAACAAACTGGTATTGTTTTATGTAAATATTCTTTAGTTGACTTATAACACAACGTTTCAGTACATCATTGGGACTGGCTACCGTTGTGTTGGTTAAATTGTGATGAAGCTAAAACGAGTCCAGGTAAGTTAATACATTGGCTATAACTACAGCTAAATATAGAATATTGTATTGTATTTACTTAAATACATGAATACCTGTTTACATCCTTACACCAGGTAAAGCAGGTGAATATAATAACACGCCCATCATACTAGACCTCGTAATTGTTACTTCAAAAGTCACCATGGTCTTAATTCTTACTTCATGTCTGGGACGTATTCAAAACAAATTATTTATAATGCCCTGAAATGACCGAGGTCCAATAAAATTTGTTATTATATAAATATGGAAATATAAGATATGATGGTGATAAGTCTTTATATATACTGCATTAGAGCACATAAACTGTAGGTTTGATAATATCTGCAGGACGGGGTGGGGTGGGGTGGGGTGGGGGTGTTAAACATAGGACGTTAAACATAGGACGTTAAACCCCACATTTCACTTGATAATATAACATGTGTTGTACTATTAAATGAAATGAAATGAAATGAAATGGAGTTTAACGTCCTACTGTTCTGCTCCTAACCTGGGCTAATGAAGACGGGCATACGCCATACAGTGTGCTATGAGGGAAATTTTGCCCGGACAGCGGCACTACGGCCTACTCTTATATCGAATTCCAACTGCCAAGGGATCTTTTACGTGCACGCCAATGTGTACACGGGACCTCGGTTTTTCGTCCCATCCGAACGACTAGACAGCTTTCCTTGTCAGCCCCTCCGCCCTGCATCACTGACAAGGGAAACCACGCCGGAAAATCTGGATGAACTTTCTCGGCCAATGCAGGGATCGAACACCCGACCTCCAGGCTAGCGAGCTAGCGTCTTACCCACTTAGCCACGTGATCCCCCATGTGTTGTACCATATCACAGATAGAATATTAACGTCAAATTTAACCAATACTCTATTCTTTGCCGAGGATGAATGCATCGGGTGTGTTCGTCAATATTTAATTTTATGTTAACATAAATATAGCATTTACTTGACAATTAATATGACGATACTCATCAACCCCTAAATCAAGTTATTGCAAACATTTTGCTTGTTGCCCTCGAGATTGTGTTTACGATGTTATAAGCTTTCCACAAATGTATAGTTTGTTTAGCAGGGAGGACCATGTTGCGGGTCTTCATGCTCAAACCCTTTACCGACAGTCCTAGTCCGTTTAATCAAGCTTGAAAGTAACCTTGCGCGTTTTCATAACCAGTCACTATTATATCTTTTAAGAGTGTTATATGCGCAGTATTTAGTCCTCAGCTTTGTATTATCTGAAAAGGGAAATTTCCATTCACGATATGAATAACGTAAAGCCATTTTTTAAATTGCCGTGATAATCAAATTGCGTAACGCTATTAAAGATACGTTATGTAAGGTCTAAATATGCCTATTGAAGATCTGGAATCGGATGGCCGTGATATAAATGGATTTAACGATACACTGGATAACCGAGACCTAGTCTCGGTTGTCAAGTACCGTTGCAACGATAATAAAAGATCGAGCGCTACATTTTCAAAGTGGCGGTTTATGGTTGAGAGAGAGAGAGAGAGAGAGAGAGATGGGGATTAACGTCCACTCGACACAAACTAGGTCATTTCGGCACTAACATATGGTTTAATTTTATTTCAATAATTCGCTTGCACGTAGGGGTCTTTAGCAGTGGGAGGAAACCAGAGGACCCGGAGAAAACCTACGAGGTTGGAGCCTTCGCCCAGAATAAAGTAATTTAACTGAAAGGTTCAATATATTCCTAGATACTGCATCTTTAAAATAAACAAATATGTTAAAGGACAATAATGGTGTCAGCCATTATCACATAAGTGATAGAACTGGTTAAACATGTTCCAAATATAATTTTAACACAGAGATCATTGCTACGATAGATGCGTTATGTCCTTTGTAAATGGGCGTGCACGTAAAAGATCCCTTGGCAATTAGAATTCTATATGAGAGTATGCCGTAGCGCCGCTGACCGGGCAAAAATCTCCCTCATAGCACACTGTATGGCGTATGCCCGTCTTCATTAACCCAGTCGTAGCAGAACAGTAGGACGATAAACCCCATTTCATTTCATTTATGTAGGTCAAAATTATAGATGATACAAGTATGTATAGGACCCACGTACCCGCGTCGATAGACAACAATACACATGTAGTCTATATTATGAGCGTTTCCCTAAATTCAATGGACGGTATATTTATAAATAAATGCCTAATATCACGTTAAAAAAGACCCACGCCCAATTCTTTATAATTTCAAGAAATATATGAGTGTGTGAAATATATAATTCATAAAATATCACATATAGCATAACAGTTTTAAGGATATGATACAAAAAACAAGCTAAAAGCTGGATATAAGACTATATTATTTACTTTGTAATATTTCAATTAACTTTTTTATACATAGTAAGAGTTAAAGGTAAGTGTTTTATGACGAAGAAAATTCAAAACAAATAATATAAATAAATATGAAGATAAATAAACGAGTAACAGGCCGTTCCTGCCAACACACCAACTGTTAATTTAATGTTATATACGTTGGAGAGAGAGAGAGAGAGAGAGAGAGAGAGAGAGTTAACGTCCACTCAACACAAATTATATCATTTCGGGACTAACATGGTTCAATTTTATTTCAATAATTCGCTTGCGCGTAGTGGGTCTTTAGCTGTGGGAGGAAACCGGAGGACCCGGTGGAAACCCACGAGGTTGGACAGGCAACGCTACTCCTTGTCACGTACAACCGGGGAATTAAAACCACGCCAGTTTACTGAATGACAGACCCTCTGATACAACGCGTGCGCGTTAACCAATCGGCCATCCAACCCTCTTTTCATATAATAAAGGATATGTATTATATTACTTGAAATATCAACAATAAATATGTCATGTTTCAGTGACATTTCCTAGTCGCTTTTAAAATTATATATCAAGGATGTAATATTGTACAATGTTATTCGTGTCATCTGTTTTCTTAAAGGGGCGTTAGGTAAGATTATGTAAAGACCTGACAGTTCGCGCTATAATAGTTCATAAAATAGGTAATGAAAGCAGAATAATTATGCTAGATATTAGCGATTCAATTTTAGGCCAGCCTCGATCGTCATTACTAACGTTGGTATGATAATAAACAAATTCTCGATTGTCCATTTTTACATTAAATTATCCATCACATAATGTATTCAAATCCACTAAATAGTAGCTAGTTTTCTCCCTCTCTCTCCCTGATCTAGCTGCAAAATGCTAGACTAATTTATTGGCGTAGTTGTCTTTAACATTGTGAGGGATATGTAGAACACTATAACAGATGATATATATGTGTAGAGCCGCACCACTTACCGCATACTAAACTTATGCTGTCTGTGGACAATTAACTCCGCTTGAGAACAGACACTAAGCTAGTTGAGCGACATTTTAAGTCTTAAGTCAACGATTTTAGTCGAAAAAACTAAGCATATTATTATGTCGATTATATATTCTGCTTGCATTAATAAAATGTGTTTAACAGGTGTGAACCGGAGAACATAACAGTATACTCATTGTTGGATATGGCGGCCATATAGGTCAGAGATCTATTCTCCAAATAGAGTAGATAGTGTTCTTTGTACAGAAAGCACTTACCCAGGTCGAAACACAAGACAGAAAGGCATATTTATAAATTATAACGTGGATGTATTGACACGGGGATATATTGTGTTATCACTATGTATGTGCAATGATATAAGTACGGACCACTTAGAATACACATATTTATCAACTATCACATGGATACATTGAATTTCTTGGGGGGGGGGGGGTAGCTCTATGTATGTACCACGGAGGGCCTGACAAGAACAGCTGTTTAGTCGTCCGGATGGGACGAAAAACCGAGGTCCTGTGTACATGGGTGTGCACGTAAAAGATCCCCTGGCAGTTGGAAATCGATGTAAGAGTAGGCCGTAGCGCCGGTCTCAAGGCAAAATTTCCTCATAGCCCTTCTTCATTAGCCCAGTATAGGAGCAGAACAGTAGGACGTTAAACCCCATTTCATTTCATTTATGTAGGTCAAAATTATAGATGATACAAGTATGTATAGGACCCACGTACCCGCGTCGATAGACAACAATACACATATAGTCTATATTATGAGCGTTTCCCTAAATTCAATGGACGGTATATTTATAAATAAATGCCTAATATCACGTTAAAAAAGACCCACGCCCAATTCTTTATAATTTCAAGAAATATATGAGTGTGTGAAATATATAATTCATAAATATTGGAGACCTATGGGCCAATCTCAGTTGCGGGTGGGGTGGGGGTAGTCTATTTGCTCGAAATTTGTCACCCAAATTTTCAGAATGAATCAATCATTAACTGTCTCACATGACTCACATCATATTGTGAAATGTTATTGCGTAAACCATGAACGATTTCGTTTTACAATTATACAAGTATATGTGTATGATATATGGTCTCATTCTCTGATGTTGGTGCCCAAAAAACGGAAATAATACTTTGTCCGGCACCCCCCCCCCCCACCCACCTTCAACCCCCTTCCCTCCCCAGACTGCCTGCCTCCTACACCTATGTTACCATGTATAAAAATAGATTTCGTGAAATATCACAAAGTGAATATAGTCATATACAGCAGAATCTATATAATTAAAGTAGCTAAGTCTCTAACTCAGTATCATCCAAAATCTTCGACATTGAAAACACGAATTATTTGTCAATTTAAATCAACATTGATGTCGTGATCTCACCGGGAAAAGATGGGCTTCTGATATCCAATATTCAAGACAAAATGAACATTTTACCATTGGTACACGAATCGTGTACCACAATGCGTTTCAGGCCCATTCTAACAAGGGACTCGAAGAACGAGGCTAGACATTAAAAAAGTCATGTCAAACGGTGACGGCATATTCATATCGGGAGAGTATGCGCAATAAATATTATGTAGACTAGAATAACCAGACGCTAGAAATTTTCATTCGATTGAGACTTCTGACATATTTCGCCGAACGTAACTGATTTGAAATTAGAGTAAAAATGGAAACGATTGAATGTAAAGCAGTTTATATATATTCCTATTACATTATTATATGCGTTACGACCCATTTGTGTCAATTTCAAGGTCCTAAATATTAGCGATTTAACTCCTTTAAGCTACTCGAGGACATTTTCATCACTGACTGCTTAACGGGAGTGACCTCTTAATAAAATCTCAGTGTTTGTTAGAGCAGCAAGAAATCGATACTCGCATCGATGCATTTATACAAGGATTTAGCTTGTTTTTGTATCATATCATTAAAATTGTTATCTTATATTTTGATATTTTATGAATAAATATTGTTTAAACCAACACAACAGGTGCATTAATCAATAATTATTATGTTTATATATATTTATACGTAAGACAATATGGCTGAAGGCCATCTATGTGAAGTCTTATGTAAATCTGCAGGTGGCCTTGTGAAATAGTTCTAATCAGAACTAGATGTCAATTATACAACAGTTCACAACAATTTGTGAGCTATACGCGTGACGTCCTCAAATGAGAAGTGACACACGTCACTATTTTGGACCTGGACTAAACGTTTCTTTATTGAGGGATGTTTTAAAATCTTACAAAACTACAATACTATAGGAGTTGATCTTTAAAAGAATTATTTAATATTGTTCAATTCCTTTCAGTAATTACAAAGTTATGGTGATTTGAAAATTTCGCGCCATTCGGCATCCAGTGCAGACGACAAGTTAGCGTCCACGGTAAGTGTTGGGTAAAATGGTTTGATAATCGTAACCCTATTTTTAACGAAGGAATCTGATAGGATCACAAGCTGGGCTTATACCCAATCGAAATTAGTGCTAAAATATGCGGGGTATTACGTGAAGGGCTTGATATGTACGTAGTAAAGGCGAGATCAAGCCTTCTATTAAAGATGTATCTGTATAAAACCTGTACATATCCCAATATGCATACGGCTACCCCTGACTTAAACATGATAAACATTGTATTGGTGTGATGTTTTAGTTTAATCCCGTAAAATATGCCAAAACAGTGTTTACAGAAGACTGAAACTTTAAAATTGTTTTTAGATTGTCAACATTTTATATAATTTCATTTGCGGACCCCCCCCCCCCCTATATATATTTCACGGCTACGCCTCTGGCCGTTGATAATGGAAAAGACAGACAAAACCAACACTATTTATCATACGTAACCATGGACAATAAAATACCGCATATTAGTTTCAAAATGACTAAAGCAAGTTGTTGAGAATTTGAACTCCTTTCCTTTAATATTGTTTGTTCATTTTCAGATTACCGGTATGTGAAGATGGGGATAATAATGTCGTTGCGTCGATATTTTAAATGTTACCCATATGGCCGCCGATTTAGTTATTCTAAATCCCTCAAAATATTCACCGTACTTTTAGCCCTGACCCTTCTCATTCTTTTTTATCCCAAAGAGCAAAAACCCAAAACTGAAAAACATAAAGGGGCGTGGTACGACTTCATAGATCCGGATGTTTTAAAACGAGACCCAGGCCTAAAGGGATTCCGTGCTCCTGCCAAAGAAATCGTAAAACCAAACGTGTACACAAACAACAAAGATCCTCAATTCAATCACACCTGTGTTAGTCTAAAAGTTGGTAAAACCAAGACACCGATATGTGTTTACGATTCGAAAATGGATAGTATGATATCAGCCGCCCTAGTGACGCATTCTACGTGGGAAGCCGAACATTTGGAAGCCATGGAAACGCTATTTAAGCGCAATAAGAGCATTGCGCTGGTTGATTTAGGGTGCAATATTGGAGTATATACAATTTTCGCGGCGAAACTGGGAAGGAAAGTGATCGCTGTCGATCCTGTGGAAAGTAATTTACAACTCTTGGATAAATCGCTAAAACTCGGTAAACTCCGGGATAAGGTGACTCTCGTGCATAATGCCGTTTCCGATAATCATGACAAAGTCTCTATCGATCTTCGAATTGGTAACATAGGAGGCAGTCACGTCAAGTTGTACAAAGGCGAAAAGCCTCTCAAAAGAGTTAAACGATTCAAGCGAATTCACAATATTCATAAAAGTAAACGATCTCCAATAATTAGAAAACAGCCAGCTCCATCACGTACTAAAGTTGGACAAGTGAATCCCAAAAAGAAAAATCCATTGATATTTCATCCCCAGAAGAAAAATATTCAAAATTCATTACAAGGAAAACAAATTAAGCCACAACTTCAAACACGACAACCAAACAAACTCCAAAATGGCGGAGGTCCAAGGCCATCCCCAAGACCATCCCCGAGGCCTATTATACACACTAAAACAACAAGAAACCCGCCATTATTTAATGAAATTAATAAAAGAAATGGATCACAAATCGTTAAAAATATTGGAAATAAAGACTTTAATAAAAACAAAGTACACATAAATTCGAGGACAAAAGGTCACGAGTTTATCAAGCGACAGAACGGAGCACCAGTTCAGGCCATAACCGTTGACGATCTACTTCAACTAGGACGTTTTCCGTTAACTTATTTGAAAATGGATATTGAGGGCTGGGAGGAAAGGGTGCTGAATTCTGCTATGGAATTCCTACACGCGTTTAAAGTGAAGTATGTTTTCATGGAATGGATATTTCATCGATTCAACCCGTCTGCTTCTAGAATGGTTGATTTTATGGTCAGTTATGGTTATCTACCCCACAAATATGAGGGTCATCAAACATTTAGGGATTTGATGAGTAGCAAGGGTTGGCCGGACAATATTTATTGGATTAAAAGATAACTTTTAGCTTCAGAAGGATTAGAATACATCTTTGCGATTCTCGTTTGTTACACTTCAGGAGGTTGGCCGGATAATATTTACCGAATCGGGAGATATTTTTTAAATATAAACGGATTAAAAGATAACTTTTAGATGACTTTTAGATGTAAACGGAGTAAAAGATAACCTTTAGATACAAACGGAGTTAAATATAACTTTTAGATACAAATTTTATACAAACGGGGTAAAAGATAACTTTTAGATACAAATTTTGGATACAAACGGAGTAAAAGATAACTTTTAGATACAAATGGGTAAAAGATAATTTTTAGATACAAACGGAGTAAAATATAACTTTTAGATACAAATAAAGTAAAAGATAATGTTTCGATTCAAGGGATTGGCCGGATAAAATTTATTAGATTATGAGATAACTTTTATATTACTGACCATGATTTCATCGCATCCAGCATGTAATTGTAAATCATGCGCAATTGTCCAAAGAACAAACATGCTAAGTTTTATGTAGATCGTAGTCGAATAAAGAGCGTTGATCCAGGAACAATATCATCATGTGGATGGAGTTCCGTGTTCAAAAATAGTTTTTAGGTCGACATGAACAAGGCATTTAAATTGGTTACTAATTGTTGAGCTAGATACTTATGGTGGCGGATTGGTTTCATGTCGCGTTGTCGTGGTGTCGCCCTTCATAAGGCGACAACCCGACATCCCGACATTTTAACCCGACACCACGACAACCCGACATGATACCAATCAGCCACCATAAGATACTAGATCATTACTAGTGGCTTAAAGCCGCCGGCGTTTATTGAGGAAGTTTAGATCTGTTTTAAACTACATTTTTGTGAAAGTTGAATATCTATTATAACAGGAGGATATCAGTCCAAAAATGCTTCAATTCCGTTCAGTATTGACAAAAATATTATGATGAATTAAACATTTCGCAACATTGTGGTAGCTACATATAAGTATTACGTGAAAATAGTTGATGGTCATCTTTTTAATCCGTGAAGTGAAAGATTATCCATTTTTTGTATTTTGATTTGTCTTTTATTAATCAAAGATTTAGGTGTTAATGTAAGAATTAGATAAAGAGTTTGTCGTTCTCGCTATAATATTTCAAAAATAGATAATGCAAAATGAAAATTTCCTTCAAATTACGTTATTTTGAGCGAAGTTATCAATGTGTGCATTAATTGTAACCACCGCAATATTTGTTCGAGTCATAGCCTCGAACCTTTCTAATCTGCTTAAAACCGAAGCCATGGTCTTGTCATGGTATTAAATGTTTAATTAATAATTTATATAACATTTAAGGCCCAAAGAAAGGACTGCAATAGGCAGATTTAACTCATGTTTAATGCCTGTTTAAATGTTACATAATCAATCGGAGTACATATTTAGCGTGGATTAAGCGGAAGCCGTGGACAATTAGTCAATTAATGTCCTTGTATTTCATGCCCTGATCTATGATATCCCTCTCGGTGGAAGAGGACGTTAAGCCCCACGAAACACGAAAAGCAACTCGTCCTGCACTACCGATATATACCCTTAGCTTCCACATCAGCTGCATGTATACTGATTATAGCCTGACTATTATTAAGGGGAGCTTACCCTAGTTAACTTATATTTACAAATTAAAAGAACACATGCAGAGGAGTCGTAAAACTTTACTTAATAATTCAATCGAATAACCGTTAATTACCGTTAATTAACCCAGCATGTCGTATGATATGGGTGTGATAAAAATGGGCGTGAGCGTCCATTAGTGTGATATTTTTGTAGTTGCATTGTTTGTAGCCTATGAAACACGTAATGTAAGTGTATCATCCTAGTATAAATGACAAATGGTACCAATCTCAACTGTCTCTTGTTTTATAGGCTAACCGTTTTAAAACTTGAATTGTATAATGTGAATTTTGTATAATGTTTTAAAACTTAAATAGTATAATAATATGTATAATGTTTTAAACCATGCATTGTATAATATAGATCTTGTATAATGTTTGAAAGCTTGTATTATATTTTAAAGATTTAATTATATTCTTTGAATGACATTTAGTAATTGAAACGTAATCAAAGAAAACAATTACTATGATTTATTTCACTGCGACGTTTCAACAATATCTCACAAGTCGTTATTGAGCATATATCAACACAAATAAATACAAATTTCATGACTTGCGAAACCTTGTTATTGAAACGTCACAGTGAAATAAACCATAGTAATTGTTATCCGTGAATAGTGATTTTATTTTGATAAAGATGGAATTGTATAATATGAATGGGGTATAAGTTTTAATTGTATAAGGTGAATTTTGTATAATATTTTAAAGCTTGAATAGTATAATATAATGCTGTATAACGCTCTAATGATTGAATTGTGTAATAGAATTGCTGTATAACGTTTTAAACGATGTGAATTAAACGTCGCATAATATTTTAAACTTGAAATTGTATAAAGTAAATGTTGTATAATATTTTACAGTTTGAATTGTACAGTATAATATCGTATAAGGTTTTAAAATTTGAATTGTATAATATAAATACAGTATTATAAGCTTAAATTGTATAATGTAAATGTTGTATACTGCATGTTTTAAAGTTTGAATAGTATAATAATAATATAAATGGTGTATAACTTTTCAAAGCTTGAATTGTATAACATGAATACGACATACTGCATTGAATTGTATGATAGAAAGTCTGATTTGTATAACATAAATAGGACATACTGCATTGAATTGTACGATAGGACATACTGCACTGAATTGTACGATAGGACATACTGCATTGAATTGTAGATAGCAAGTTTGAATTGTATAACATGAATACGGCATACTGCATTGAATTGTATGATAGAAAGTCTGATTTGTATAACATAAATAGGACATACTGCACTGAATTTTACGATAGGACATACTGCACTGAATTGCATAATATAAAGCTTAAATTGTATAAAATAAATGCTGTATAATGTTTTATTTTGATATCTGTGTTTTAGTTAATACTATATAAAGTTTATTTTTTATGTGTTTATATGAATTTTTATAATGATTATGAATTGTAAATTGAGGGTTTATATTTTTAGTTTTTATATAATATTTCATGGTTATTATTTTAAAATAAAATGTCGGGAAAATTTACTCTGATAGTTCTAAAAATAATTCTTAGGGGCCCAAAGTAGAGCCAATTGCACGATGCACAGTAATCTAACTCACGGTCGTTTGGAACAGCTGATACATGTACATCAGCTTATAATAATTCTACAGGCCATAACTGGAACACTTTTGGGCCTTTAAAAATCAACAAATACCGATTATCAGTTTGCAAGAAACAACGTCTAGGCTCTCGGATGGGACGAAAAACTGAGGACCCGTGTTCACGTTGGTGTGCACGTAAAATCATAACAGACAGTTGGAATTCGAAATAAGAGTACACCGTAGCCCGGATGTCGCGGGAAAAAAATAGGACGTTAATTCCCCAGTTCATTTCAGAAAATGTAAGCATATTCTGGCCAATAAGAATTAAATAGTAACCAATAGAGTAAAACAGAGAAATTTATTTTTACAGACATTTTAAACCAATTTCCATCTTTATACGTTCTATAGAATTCATCTTTACTATGTGCAATGTTGTCTACTTCCATTTTGGAGCTTCGCATAACTTCCACTTCTTATCCACTTGGGCTGACAAAAATAGACCCTGGAAAGAAAACCATCAAATAAATACATGTATATACACCGGATTTATAGTTGACAGTTAAAATTAAATCAGAAGGTCTAAAAACATAAACAAAGCCCATACTTAAAGTCTAGGTGCGTGATTTTATGGAAGACCAAACAGGTCTTTATTCAGAGTTCCTAATTCTTAGTTCTTAATTCATAGTCCTTAATTCGCCATTAATGTATGGTGACTTAGTGTATGCCAGACTGATTCCCGCTCATGTCGTCATGATGTTCCGGTTCGATGAATTATAAAAGAAATGTTTTTGGAGACATGTTGTGCAAGATTTGTATTTGGAGATTTGTATTTGGAAATTTGTTGTTCGAGATTTGTTTTTATTTGTATGTATCTGATGAAATGTAAATGTAGGCTAATTTTTTTGATTTTCTAAATTAATATTTTATCTTTATATTAAACTACAATTAGATTCTTAAAAAATACAATTTACAAATCTGATATGACAAATGCCTGATTTGTAAAGCTAATATTGATTTTAAGATACAAATGTCAATTTTAGTGTAAAAATGTCGAAATACGGCAACAAATGAAGAACTAAGAATTAAGAACTATGAATTTAGTACTAAGACTTAAAGATACATTATGTAAGATTTGGATAAAGAGCTAGACATTCTTGCTATAATAGTTCGAAAATAGATCATGTAAAATTAATAATTTGAATATTTCATTCAAATTACTCTATTGCGAGCAAAGATATTATAGCAGTTGAAGGTTTGACAAGACGTGTGCAATAATTTCAACCACCATACTGGTTGTTGGAAGCTAAATCTCGCTCCTCCACTTTTAAATTAAATTAAAATATGGCCGAACCATTCCAATCTATTTAATATTGGAGAAGAGAAATCCGATGCCATCGAGAGTTGATTAGGGCCTGGAACAGTTAATTAATGTCTAATTAATAATTCAGAAAACATTTCAGGCCTAAAGAAAGACCCGCAATAGGCAGATTTAGCTCTTGCATAATGTATGTTTAAGAACACTGAATAAAGAGCTATAGGAATCACTTGCAAACTACAATATTTTGAAAGATGGATCCCTAATTTGGGTACCATTCCAAACATGGTTCTATTCCGCTCAGAATGTACAAGATATGCAAAAATAGAAATTTCATTGATCTGCGTTGTTGGCTATGTAATAAGCCCGCCGCCATTTTGTTGTCCGCGAAAGTGAGTAAGACGCTGGCTCGCTAGTCTGGGGTTTGCGGGTTCGATCCCTTGGCAGTTGCAAAATTTCCCTCATAGCCCAGTCGGAGAAGAACAGTAGGATGTTAAAAAACCATTTCATTTCCAAATGCCACTTAAAGCTACATTATGTAGGGTGGTTGTATGGCTGAATGGTTAGCGTGCGCGCGCTGTATCATAAAGTCTGTCATTGAGTCGACTGGCGTGGTTTCGAATCCCCGGTTGTACGTGACAAGGAGTAGGGTCGCCTGTCCAACCTCGTGGGTTTTCTCCGGGTCCTCCGGTTTCCTCCCACTGCTAAAGACTCCTATGCGCAAGCGAATGGTTGAAATAAAAATAAACCATATGTTAGTCCCAAAATGACCTAGTTTGTGTCGAGTGGACGTTAAACCCCATTTATCTCTCTCTCTCTCTCTCTCTCTCTCGCTACATTATGTAAGATTTAGATAAAGAGCTGGCCGGAGGAGCAGGCAAGATTCGCCTGGGAATTGAAATGTGTTGGCCACACAGCTGTTGTTGTTCTTGTTTATTACATCCGCTTCTACCAAGGGTGATATCGCAGACAAGTTGTCTTATTTTCAATTTAATTATCTTAGCGCGCGTGCAGGGGTCTTTCCTGTGGGAGAACACCGGGGTACACGTAGTAAACCCACGAGGTTGAGAAGGCAGCCCTATCTCCAAGCCACATTGGCTAACACCAGTCACCAGAGATCGAAACCACGACCGCAAACCAGAATTGACCACCCAGCTAGAGTTCTGGGCGGCACCGCTGCTATCCTGGCAATATAATCCACGATAGCACACTTCGTAAGTCCGGTAGGTGCAGCATATTAAGACGTTTTAACCCCATTTCATTACATTTTAAACATGCATTATGCAAGAGCTAAATCTGCCTATTGCAGGTCTTTCTTTAGGCCTGAAATGTTTTCTAAAGTATTAATTAGACATTAATTAACTGATCCAGGCCTTAATCAACTCTAGATGGCATCAGTTTTCTCCGATATTAAAAAGATTAGAATGGTTCAGCGATACTTTGATTTAATCAAATATGAAGGACCGAGACTTAGCTTCGATCAACCAGTACGGTGGTTGAAATTATTGCAGACGTCTGCCAAACCTTCAAAGACTAATATCTTCGCTTGCAATAGAGTAATTTGAATGAAATTTTCAAATTATTCATTTTACATCATCTACTTTCGAACTATTATAGCAAGAATGGCTAGTTCTTTATCTAAATCTTACATAATGTATCTTTAATTTTTAGTAAAACCTCAGCCGAATACGAAAAATGTTCGTGGTCCCCTGAATAAATTATTTTAGATACTCACCGTCTATCGTTTTTAAGAGAGTGTGCGATGGCTTGTTTCACAGTTATGCTTGACCTATAACCCCAGAATGAGTAGCTTGCGCGATCAAAGGTCAAGGACAGTTTCTGTATTTGACCTATATGGGCACTGGAGACAATCATTTCTCTAAACGTGTGGTCTGCTGGTGTTGATTCACTGAAAAATAAAATCATATTAAAGTCTACAACATCTCCGCGAAGCTACAACAACTGACGCACACGAAGGTTAACATTTAAAATGTTTAGAAAAATGGAACTAAATTTCATTGCTACATGCTATTATGAACAAAATTTCAATTATTTTAAAACAATTTTTAAAATCGTTTTAAACTGGCCCCTAGAAACACTCAACCGATGTATGTGAAGGTATGTATTAACGGTTACTTGTTGCAACAATCGTGTTAAATGTTACTAGTCGTATCTTTTAAAAAATGAAATGAAATGGGGTTTAACGTCCTACTGTTCTGCTCCGAACTGGGCTAATGAAGACGGGCATACGCCATACAGTGTGTTATGAGGGAAATTTTGCCCGGACAGCAACACTACCGCCTACTCTTATATTGAATTCCAACTGTGGAATCTTTTACGTGCACGCCAATGTGTACATGGGACCTCGGTTTTTCGTCCCATCCGAACGACTAGACAGCTGTCCTTGTGCAGCCCTCCGTACTGCATCACTGACAAGGGGGAACCACGCCAGAAAATCTGGATGAACTTTCTCGGCCAATGCAGGGATCGAACACCCGACCTCCAGACTAGCGATCCGGCGTCTTACTCCCTTAGCCACCGCGATCCCCTTATTAGTCGGATATTAGTCGTAACTGCTAATGTTTGCAAACTTACGTGTTAAAAGTTACCGGCTGTGTTGCACCTTGAGATCCAATCAGTCTAACGGTTATCTCCCCTGCATCACTGTATGACGTGTTGGTCAATTTTAATTCGATGTAATAATGGTAGCCTGTATAAGGGAAGAAAAACAGATAAAACAAACCTTTTATTAAAAAAAACCGAGGTCCCGTGTATACATTGGCGTGCGCGTAAAAGATCCCTTGGCATTTGAAATTCGATAGAAGAGTAGGCCGTAGAGCTGCTGCCCGGGCAAAATTTCCCTCATCGCACACTGTATGGCATACACCCGTCTTCATTAGCCCAGTCGGAGCATTTCATTTCATTTTAAATTCAATATGGTAGCTTTCACACAGCGCTAATATCCCATCACGTTTTGATTAAATACCCCCTCCCTCCACCCGAAAAGCATGAAGCTCGTGGTTCATAGTTTACTCTTTTGAGTGCAAGGAGTAAGTGGGGAATGGTTGGTGGGTAGCCGAATGGTTAACGCATGCGCGTTGTATCACAAGGTCTGTCTTCAAGGAGTAGGGTCGCCTGTCCAACTTCGTAGGTTTTCCCCGGTTTGCCGGTTTCCTCCCACTACTAAAGATCCATATGTTAGTCTCGAAATGACCGTGTGTGTGTGTGTGTCCCCTCCCTCTCTCCCTCCGTTACCCTTGTTCGTGCAGGTAAAAGAATGGTAGGTGGAAAAGCTGCTATACGACCCCCCCCCCATAGCACACTGTATAGCGTATACACATCTTCCTTAACCCAGTCGGAGCAAAACAGTAGGACGTTAATCCCATTTCATTTCATTTTCTAAAAATTAGTAAGCATACCACAGTAAGGTGATCTGTCCGATGTTTTTAGATAAAATGTCCCCTCTGATTTGTATCCATCGGAGTTAAGTCCCATGGAAGGACAAAGCCGGTTTCCACAACTAGTACATCGACCACCTTCAAACTCAGTCATTGACGTACACGGGTAGGCTTTAAAGGGACACTCCGTTGTTATTGATTCTATAAACAGATTAAAGGCACGATCATGGCTACAGCCCAAAGATTTCTCAGCACCTAGAAATATAAAACAAGGTTATTGTTAGCCCATTGTCAGATTTGGGTAACATCTATAATTTGTATTGACGTATCATATTTATAAATTATCGTCACCAAAAGAGGTATTGAGATTCCTCAGCGAACATACAAAAATGTCATTCCTTCCCGTCAGCAAATTAGCAGTCAGAACCAAAATATGGACGCAAGAGAGGGAAATCAATTAACCCTTTTCTTATGAAAATGTGAGGCGAGGAAGATATGAACTGATATTCCTTTCAGAGATTCAACTTTCACAATATTGTAGTTTACACAGGATTCCAGATCTTTCAATTCGTCGTATCTTTGACAATACTGAACGGACTTGAATCATTCCATAAACTGACATCCCTGTTAGAGATTCATCTTTGACAATACTGAACGGTCTTGAACCATTCCATGGACTGACACTGGCTTGAACCATTCCATGGACTGACATTCCTGTTAGAGACTTATCTTTGATAGTACTAAACGGACTTGAATCATTCCATGGACTGATATTCCTGTTAGAGATTCACCTTTGACAGTACTGAACGGTCTTGAACCATTCCATGGACTGACATACCTGTTAGTAATTCACCTTTGACAATAATTAAACGGGATTCTAAATCCCTAAAATGGCGACCAGTGGTCCTGTAATGACTGTTTAAGTATTTCCAAAGTATCAATAGACCTACTGTCAAATCCACGATTGAAAACACTGGACATAAGATCTTCGTAGGTTTCTCCACCACAACCAGGTTGATGTGTTCCACCATTAGGATAGAAATCAATATGACCAACCGGTGTTAGCATACCATAACCTTTAAAATAATAGTAATAAACTGTGACGGGAAGATAATGGTGTATGTTGTTTTTGATGATGATGATGATGACGATGGACATATTATTGTTGATGATGATGATGGATAGATTGTTTTTGATGATGGTGATGGGGCATGGTGTTGTTAATGGTGGCGAAGACGACGATGATGATGATGATGATGATGATGGAGACTTAGGTTATGTTTATTAAGTTGATGGATGGAACAGAACATACAAGTTAAGAGTGGCGTGACTACAATTAAGAGAAAATGATTTTACCTTTAGGTTATATAATATTTGCTATTGTTCATGCTACTACTGCGGCGGCAGCTATCGTTTTGTTTTATCTTGGACCCACCAAGAAGCTAGTCCGGTTTAGGCGAAGCTATGTAATGAAAGATGATTGGATTAAGCTTCCTACTTTACAAAACCAACCGGAAAAACTTAACACAGCGTGTCATAAGGGACATTTGACCTTGATAGCGGTATTTATGTTGCCTATTCTTCATAGAATTTCAACTTCCAAAGGATCGCACGTGCAAGACAATGGATACACAGGTGGACCTCAGGGTTTTCATACCATCCAAATTACTAGATGCTTTTCCTTGCCAGCTCCACACAACCTTCTCGGCCAACAGCGGGGCTGAACCCAGGATACTCTGGTTAGTGGACCAGTGCCATTCTCCCAGCGAGCTAATACAGTAGGGTAGACATCGGGAGAAATAAAGTAGAGTGGGCGCGATTATGTTTATGAGAATCGTATTTTACCACTAAATGTATTAAGATGATAGAATCAGAACAATCTGATTAAAACACATTTCGTTTCGTTTTTTATAGTTCAAAATTTCGTTTTACTTGTCTTTACTACACTAGGATCTGGAAGAGTTGTTATATAACCCGCGTTCTGGATAATGTGAGGGATTAACCAATGAAACGGTCTGTTACGGCGTGCGGTGCACGGAGCTGTGGGTAAACCACTAAAAACGCCAACACTGATTGATTAATCAATATCAGACGTCAAAGGTCAAACGTGACCTTCCAGTACAGCCTGTCAGGTCTTCGTGTAGTGTAGGCTATCGAAAGGATAAAAAAAAACGAAACAAAATATATATCTGTATTTTAATCAGATTAGAATCAGGGAGAGATAAAGAAGAAGGAATGTTGCTATGGATACCAGAATTATATCTTACCACTAAATGTATTATATAAGATGATAGAATCAGGGAGAGATAAAGAAGAAAGGATATTGCTATGGTTACCAGAATCATATCTTACCACTAAATGTATTATATTGAGAACCATCAGTATGAATGACGTCAACATATCTAGCATCAGATTTATCCAATCTAACTAAAATATCTGTCCCTTCAAAACTGGGTTTAGCAGGATCCAGACCTAGTATTAGGAAAACAATCGTATTCATCATTATTAAGACAGAACACCATCCACATTTTAAGATTGTTTGACTGGGACTAAAATTGACATTTGGAATAATAATCGGATATATCATTATTACATTTAAAATTGTTTAGAAAATATAAAATTCCTCGGTTACAAAGCTGGGTCCTCAATGTAGTTATTGTTCAATCAACACAAGAAACAGCAGGTTATCAAGCAGTCTTTCAAACGAGTCCTGGACCACAGATATGGGCACCTCCAGAAAAACATTTTCTTTGGGTTCAGAATACTCGGGGTTCTAGTACTACAGTGATGTAATCAATGCCGGCTTTGAAGGTCAATTAAAATTCAAATGCCCCCCCCCCATTCACATACACCCCCCCCCCCCCCTTCCGCTCCCAAAACAAACAAACTCACAACAGTCATATTAAATGAGCAATTTGAATTTTTACTTGCCTGTAATTCTACCTAAACCAACAATGGCGTCTCCAGCATACCCTGCTACATGTGCCCCTAAACTGTGCCCTATTAAATGTATTTTACGTGGTGAGGTATATGTCATATTGATTAGGGTGTTTACCATCAGGGCCACCTCGGCCCCGACAACCCTGGTATTAGATGCTGCCTGTCGGTAGGGGAATCCAGCACCTTGTCCCCATCCTACCACTATTACATTCACAGGTGACTGAAATAATTAAAAGTACACCTTTAAAGATACATTATTGGACATTCGATAACGAGTTGGCAGTTCTCACTATAATAGTTAAACACTAGATAATGCAAAAGCAATTTGCTGAAAATTTCATTCAAATTGATCCACTATGAACCGAGAACTAAGCGATTGAAATTTCCGCCTAACCTCGATCATCATTACTAAAGTCAGTACGATAAACAGCATAGTCTCGATTATCCATTTAATCGTTAAATCGTGAAGGAAAGTTATGCAGTAAATCGGCTCATAATCCACTAAAGATCGCAGGCTAGCGATGCCATCTAGAGTTAATAATTAATAATTTAGATAACATTTCAGGCCTAAAGAAAGACCTGTAATAGACAGATTTAGCTCTTGCATAATTCTATTCCATTGAATTGTAATCTGTGTTTTCGTTCTTTCCCCTACCTTTGTTAAGAATGCTCCGGCTGCTCGATGTAACCAATCCACGTTCCAATCCTGCATGAAGCCATGGATGATGAACTTCGTCTCTTCATGTGGGTTAAATCCAGTCAGGTCGTCAGTTGTTAGTGTGAGTGGTTGAACTGGATTCTGGCTGGTGTACAGTTTAAATACTGTGCCGATAAACCCCGGGTCTTGGGGGAACATCCCTGTGTTGTTAAAAGGTGACTGGATACTAAAACAGCCTAGTCGGGGATAACAAGTCCTACTTCCATTGCTGTAAACACTAACTACAAAAAAGGATTTAGGCTATGATTAGAAAGTACAAGACAAAGATTTCAGCAGCATGATCTTTCAAAATTGGATGGTTGGATGGCCGAATGGTTAGCACGTGCGCGCGCTGTATCACACGGTCTGTCATTGAGTCAACTGGTGGGGTTTCGATTCCCTGGTTGTACGTGACAAGGAGTAGGGTCGCCTGTCCAACCTCGTCGTTTTTCTCCGGGTCCTCCGGTTTCCTCCCACTGCTAAAGACCCCTACGCGCAAGCGAATTATTGAAATAAAAAATTGAACCATGTGTTAGTCCCGAAATGACCTAGTTTATGTCGAGTGGACGTTAAACCCAATCTCTCTGTCTCTTTCAAAATTCAAAGACTGCAACGAATAAGCTCCTTACATTACAACCCGATATCAATACAATTCTATATTTCGTTTCGTTTTTTATACTTTCGATGGCCTACACGGACAAGTAAAACCGAATTTTAAAGTATAAAAACCAAACGAAATAGGATCTGTGTTTTTATCAGATTGAGCTCCTTACTAAAAGGCTAGTAGTGGGTGGAAGAATCCCTGGAACGGTGTAGGTCAGTGTGGATCACAGTAATACCGAGGAGGCCAAAAGGGGGCGCTCCTCCTTTTTTAATAAAAAATCAATACCAAAATATAATCCCCCAGCAACACACCAGACAAGACTGCAGTAGAGTAGTAGTGGTTTTAATACCAGAAGGCGTTTCGCGCGCAATGCCCTTAATCAACTGGATTTAAAATAATCCCTACAGTTTTTGCTTTATATACTAAACTATGGCGAATGCGCGCTTAGTGAAGGCTTAATAATCCTTTATAGTACGGGGGGGATGGATGGCCGAATGGTTGGCACGTGCGCGCGCTGTATCATAAGGCCTGTCATTGAGTCAACTGGCGTGGTTTCGAATACCCGGTTGTACGTGACAAGGAGTAAGGTTGCCTGTCCAACCCCGTGGGTTTTCTCCGGGTCCTCCGGTTTCCTCCCACTGCTAAAGACCCCTACGCGCAAGCGAATTATTGAAATAAAATTAAACCATATGTTAGTCCCGAAATGACCTGTTTGTGTCGAGTGGACGTTAAACCCATCTCTCTCGCTCTCTCTCTCTCTCTCTCTCTCTCTCTCTCTCTCTCTCTCTCTCTCCCTTTATAGTACATAAAACAAAAACTGTCCAGGGATCTTTTACGTGCACGTCAATATGTACGCAGGACCTCAGTTTTTCGTCCCATCCGAACGACTATACTTTATCCCTTGTCAGGTTCTTCATCCTGTACCACCGACATGGGAGAACCAGGCCTGTAAATCACGATGAACTTTCTAGGTCAGCCCCGCAATCGAACACTGGAGCCCATTTCTTACTCAATGAGCCACCGCGACTCCAAAATCAGTAGAGAGAGAGAGAGAGAGAGAGAGAGATGAGAAATGGGGTTTAACGCCCACTCGACACAAACAAGGTCATTTCGGGACTAACATATGTTTTTTTAGAATTTTATTTCAATAATTCACTTGCGTGTAGGGGTCTTTAGCAGTGGAAGGAAAGCGGAGGACCCGGAGAAAACACACGAGATTGGACAGGCGACCCTACTCCTTGTCACGTACAACTGGGTAATCGAAACCACGCCTGTCAGAATAGGTCGATCTGAATAATGTTGAGCCCCTGTCGGCTTTCAACATGCGAGCCGAATCACTCTCTAAGCTTTGATACAAGTCTCTCAACAAATTAATATCCAAGTAACTATATAAAGACACCTACCGATTTCTATGAAAAAGAGAAAAACTCCAAATAATCCCATGTATTTTCTCATATTGTCTTTTTCCCCGTTATAATCTCTGTAGAAATTATTAGTAGGTGGACTGTCCTCTAGAAGAATTTATTTAATTTTGTGGTCTGTCAAGGACCGTTGTTTGACCGTTGATATATGGGTCAGTTAAGTTGACGAGGATGTACGGGTGGTTACGGAAATATTAAGAGTCTTGCATCCGAGTCTACTTCACATCAAATTTTCGTAACAGAGTTATTAATTAAAGGGACATTATAACACGCCCACTCGACACACACTAGGTCATTTCGGGACTAGCATATGGTTCAATTTAATTTCAATAATTCGCTTGAGCGTAGGGGTCCTCCGCAGTGGGAGGAAACCGGAGGACCCGGGGAAAACCCACGAGGTTGGACAGGCAACACTACTCCTTGTCACGTACACCCGATGAATCGAAACCATGCCAATTGACTCAATAAAAGACCATATGATACAGCGCGCACGCGCTAACCAATCGACCATCCAACCCTTCTTAAACGGGTACAGGAATGCTAGACCAATTAAATGTTCTATACAGAGAGAGCGAGAGAGAGAGAGGGGGAGAGAGAGAGGGGAGGGGGTCCACTCGACACAAACTAAGTCATTTGGGACTCTCAATGATAGACCTTCTGATTCAACGCACACGCGTTAAAACGCACCCCCTCCCCCACGTACCCCCCAATGGTCTATACAAATTAATGTTAAGTGTGATGTAAATTTCCGTGGAATATTTTTAAATATGTTTCTCATAATAAACCAATATTGTAAACATTTATTTTGGACTACTGACACTTTAAATAATCCCTCCATGTATAATATCATGGTGACTCAGTGAATAAGGTGCTTGTTTACTAACAAGGAGGTCTCGGGTACGATCCCGGTGTTGACCGAAAACGTTTCCTGGGATTTTGGTCAAGAAAGTTTCCCGGGATTTTCCGACATGGTTCCCTCTTGTCGGGGGTTCTTGACATAGGGAGTCTGGTAAGGAACAGCGTCTAGTCGTTCGAATGGGACGGAAAACCAATTCCCTGTGTATACGTTGGCTTTCACGCCACGTATTAGAACCCTTGACAGTTGGAATTCAATTAGACGGAACGCCGTTTTCCGGGTAAGCGCCCCCCCCCCCCCAATGCATGGTGCACACAGAACAGCAGGACGCTATAACCAGTGCTTTTCAATCAAATTCATATTACACGAGTTCAGAGAAACTTAATTTATCACCCAATAATACATTCTACGCTAGACATCGCTTATGGGATAAATTTCATAAGGAACTACTATTTTTTTATTTTCGAAGAACAGTTCATTTTTTATTAAAGGTAACTTCTTTCTTATTAAAAAAGGAACTATTTTTATTTAATTGACTTTCATGGAAATACTGGGTCAATATAAAGGACTTTGCAATGGTTGAATTGCTGTCAAAAAATGAAGTATCACTACGCCGTAATGTAATCAGGTTAAGTAAAAGTAAAGTCAATAACAAAGAATTATATTTATTTATTTGTGCATGTAAGAAAGGATTGAGTGATAAATAAAATCTCCTACTCGTCAGAGCCTCGTTTTTTTTTTTTACTTTATCGATTTGTGTTGATATTTTTTGATATCAAAAAAAAAAAAAAAAATAAAAACTCGTAGGAGATTCTTTATGTGTTGAACGTAACGAAACCCCAAACCTAGCTCGTTGGGTTAATGTTCGCACTAATATGACAAAGACTGACCTATAACCGTACCGTCCGGATATTTACAATAATTAGGCCTACTTGAAAATGAATCTGAATGAACAATATATATAATAATAGAGCAAAGTCATATTATATACTTCGCATCTCCATGGACGCATTACTACCTTAGTAGACCCTTCATAAGTGCTAATCTACATCGTATGTGTACATGTATATTGCTATATGATCGAGGCTAAAAATCATGCCAATTGTTTGATTATAATTCCTGTATATGACTGAGTTTGATATCAATTCCCTATAGTAATTCCTGAGTGAAGACGCCCATTATCAATGAAATAAATGAAATGAAATGAAATGGGGTTTAACGTCCTACTGTTTTGCTCCGAACTGGGCTAATGAAGACGGGCATACGCCATACAGTGTGCTATGAGGGAAATTTTGCCCGGACAGCGGCACTACGGCCTACTCTTATATCGAATTCCAACTGTCAAGGGATCTTTTACGTGCACGCCAATGAGTACACGGGACCTCGGTTTTTCGTCACATCCGAACGACTAGACAGCTGTCCTTGTCAGCCCCTCCGTCCTGCATCACTGACAAGGGAGAACCACGCCGGAAAAGCCCATTATCAATGAAATTAAATGGGCTAAAACTTCCTACTGTTCTGATCCGACTGGGCTAATGAAGCCGGGCATACGCCATATAGTGTACTGTGAGGGACATTTGACCCGGACAACGATCCTACGGCCTACTCTTAAATGGAATTCAAACTGCCAAGGGTTCTTTTACGTGGTACGCCGATGTGTACACGGGTCTAGGTTTGTCGTCCCATCCGAAGGACTATACGTTAACCCTTGTCTGACCCTCTGGCCCGCACTACTGAACCACGCCGGAAAATCCCAATAAAAGTTCTCGGCCAACATGGGGCTGGAACACTGGACCCCCCCCCCCCCCCAGGTTAGCGAGTCAACGTCTTACGCACTAAGCCATCGCGGTAAAACTTTAATCCCCATTTCATTGTAAACTGAACAGGAGTAATATTTACAGGGAGTAACTAAACTTGGTTAGATACAAATATCTAGAATTAACCGCACTTCCCTTTCTAGGAAGTTATTGTCCTTTCAGAGATCTCCGGCACAACTAAAAGCTCAGAGCCCAGGGAAGTCTTAGAATACCTGTCCCACTCACAATCATTTACGTGCCGAGGATTCCAGTAGAATGGTCTATCCATAGCAATGCGACTTGCTCCGACTTGCTCTCTGTAGTGGGTCAAACCAAGGATCAGATTATGCTTGTATAAGACCCCTATAGGTCAAAATGTCACTGGAGCCCATGCATCTTCAGTAAAAAGGGGACATTTTCAATCGCATCCCCCCTTGTTGCCTTAATGGAGGTGCGAAAATTGGATGTTCCTCTTGTTAACCTCTACCCTAGCATACGGCATTTATTTATGGTACGAATTTTGCCCTCCACCCCTCTAATATCGGGGCCCCTGGCTTCAGTCCAGCGCCCCTCCCCTTTTAACCTAGCCCTCGCCAAAAACAAATAATTATGGAAAAAGCCATATGTTGTGGCTGGTAAAAGAGAACAGGAAATTGTATGAATGGGGTTTAACGTCTCGCCAACACAATACTTGAGTCATTTTGAGACTAACATATGGTTATTTTGCTCCATGGTCACGTGTACAATCCTAGGGAGGAAAATTCTTCACAGACGTCGATGTGCAACTGTTTGTGGTCCTTAACGAGGAACTTTCTCGATCGACACTGGGGTCGTACCAGTCCCCTCCCCCAAAACATATAGGGAGAGAGAGAGACATTGGGTTTAACGGCAACTCGACACAAACTAGGTCATATCGGGACTAACACATGGTTAAATTTTATTTCAACAATTCGCTTGCATGTAGGGGTCTTTAGCAGTGGGAGCAAACCGGAGGACCCGGAGAAAACCCACGAGGTTGGACAGGCGACCCTACTCCTTGCCACGTATAACCGGGAAATCGAAACCACGCCAGTTGACTCAATGACAGACCTTATGATACAGCGCTCACGTGATAACCATTCGGCCATCTACCCTCCCCACCCCGCTAAAAAACATAAAACTAAAGTATATGAAGTGTTTTTTAATAAAATCAATAAAACAGGGCACTGTTTCTCGAAATCTTAACTAAAGATAAAATCCAAATTTTAGTAGATACTTCAATATTGATTGGCTAAGCACTAAAATCAATCTAATATTATCCGATCAAATTACTAAAATTTAGATTTTATCTTAGTTAAAATTTCGTGAAACAGACCCCAGATCAATACAATTCTGAGTATTAACAACATGGGACAGGATACTGATATAGTAAGTAGAACATTATTTAAAGTATAAACAGTTAGTACCGCCAGAGCTTGTCTAATCACAGTTATTTTCCTTTACAAAGCGGCATACCAAAGAATTAAAAGGAATATATTAAATGTACATTCAGAACACCAATTGTTAAAGGGGAAGACCAACAATTTTCATCAAAGTTTCCATAAATGTTAAATGTTTTAATATAATATCAAGATCTGTAATTGCCCTATTAATTCATAAAAAAAAATACACAATAACTGCACAACACAATGCAGACAAAACAAACGATTTCTATGGTTACGTGTGTTATGAAAGGTAGAAGTATTTTGCACAGGGCAGTGGTGTTTTCGCCCACTCTCCATCGATCTCCCAACTGGCAAAGGTTCTTTTACGTGCATGACAATAATGTACTCGGGTGGACCTCGGATTTTCCTCACATCCGAATCACATTGGCTTGTCGGCCTGGCAGGTAAACGACAGACATGAAACCTCCCGAACTTTCGCCCGAGAGTAGAACAGGTTACCACGGGCATCGAACAATGCAAGAAAACAGTAGATAAATGCAAATTACATATATAATACTTTCTCCAGACTTTCTCACTTTGGCGTTGATATTTTTGTTTGGGGTTTAATATCAAACCGACACACCCTAGATCGTTTCGGGACTAACATATGTTTCATTTTTATTTCAATAATTCGTAGCGCTTAGGGGTCTTTAGCAATAGAAACCGGAGGACCTGGAGAAAAACCATGAGGCTGGACAGGCGACCCTACTCCTTGTCACGTACAAACGAGGAGTCGAAACTGTGACACTTGAGTCAATGACAGACCTTATGATCAACCGCTCAGGCATTAACCATTCGGCCACCAAACACCCTGACTTAATAACAGTTATTATGATCTAATGTGCACGCGTTAGACCATTCCATCCCCCACACCCAAACCCACTCCGGTTTGATCTACAGTCCGAGCCTTCATAATTGATAAACGATGAAAGTTATTTTACCGGAGGTGATATCAGGCACATTGTGTAGTAACCATAACGAGTGAGAGAGAGAGAGAACTGGGGTTTAACGTCAACTCGACACAAACTAGGTCATTTCGGGACTAACACATGGTTCAATTTTATTTCAATAATTCGCTTGCGCATAGTGGTCTTTAGCAGTGGGAGGAAACCGGAGGACCCGGAGAAAACCCACGAGGTTGGACAGGCGACCTTACCTTTGTTCAATACGGAACAAATCAGTTTATTATTTATGAAGGCCAAGACAGTTAGTCTAATAATAAGGATTCCAATATGGATGTGTGCAAAATGGAGATCTACTATTTGTCCTGAAGTAAAATATACCGGCGAAACCGTTTTGTACGGAGTTATAGCCAAATTGCGGACAGTGAACATTTGTACAGGGGAGACAACTGGACTCGGATATATTATGTACCGATAAACAATAGTGTGTAGCATATAGACATTCTGAATTGATGGATTCCGTGTATAAGTCTGTGGCCCGAAGATGGCTGCAACCAATCGACTGCTTGACTGAAATATATAAAGACAAAAGGAGAGATCAGTGAAAATGAAATGGGGTATAACGTCCTACTGTTTTGCTCCGACTGGGCTAATGAAGACACCCTGTCCTTATATTGAATTCCAAAATTCAAGGGATCATTACGTTCGCCAATGTGTACACGGAACCTCGGTGTTTCGTCCCTCCCGAAAGACTCTACGCTGTCCCTTGCTAGGCCTTACGTCCTGCACCACTGACAAGGGGGCACCACGCCGGAAATTACCGATGAACTTCCTCGTCAACAAAGGGATCGAACACGGGACTACCAGGTTGGAGATCCAATGTCTTACTAACCGAGCCACCGCGGCTCCGCAGATAAATGAAACTACAGATCGTGTATGCAATCAACAAATAATAAATCAAGGGCCACGTGCGGAACATTGTAAATTGTGAAAATTAGGTTGGACGCCCGAACAATAAAGGGCAAGTACTGAAACTTGGCATAGACCGTGATCTAATACAATGGTGTATACTTTTTAAGTGGGTTCTATTGGGGTGGGTGCCCAAATAATAAAGGGCCCAAGTATTAAACCTTGGGATAGCCGGGATGTAATACCATGGGTTATACTTGTAAATTGAGTACAATAGGGAGAGATGGGAAGTGTGTCCTGCTCCGAGTACAAAAACCACCACTGCCCTTAGCTAAGTGGAAAAAAATGGACTGAAATTTAGAGTTAATATGATGACATATTGTTCAATTTTATTTCAATAATTCGCTTACGTGTAGAGATTTTTTAGCTGTGATAGAATACCGGAGGTCCTGGAAAAACCCCGCGAAAAAGGACAGGTGACCTAAGGTTAAAATAGTATAAACGTGTATTTTAATACTTACGATCTCTTTTTTCAAACAAGTTTAATATTCTACCTAACAAGGTACTGCCACACCCCGGCTGATTCACACCACCATTAGGATAAAAGTCGACAGTCCCACCAGGTTCTAATATACCTAAACCTAAAAATAGAACACGATTAGATTATAAACAGAACGGGAGTAGAATAATAAATATAGTACACATAACATCACGACTTTCTGCCGGGAATTTAACTCATATCTTTTGGTGTATACCAAAATAGAACGGGTTCCAATCATGTAAATGTTTACATTTTGGAACAAAGAATCGGTTATTGTACTTGGCCTGTATAGAGCCACGGTTGCTCGGTGATTAAGGCCCTGGCACACTAACCAGCAGGACGAAGAAAGATTCCTACATAGTGTCTATCTGATTTCATCGGAAAGGTTAATCATAATCTCGACCTCCATGCGGTCGATGATCCAGTTGTCAAAAGAAAAAAAAAACGAACTAACAATTTGTAAAAAGGTCGACATTCTGTGTTATTATGTGTAATCATCTGGTGTTTTATTAGATAGATAGATAGATAGAGAGAGGGATAGATAGATAGAGAGAGAGAGAGAGAGAGAGAGAGAGAGAGAGGGGGGGGTCATTTCGAGATTAACCTATGGTTCAATTTTATTTTTTCAATAATTCGCATGCGCGCAGGGGTCTTTAGCTGTTGGAGGAAACTGGAGAACCCGGAGAAAACCCACGAGATTTGACAGGCGACCCAACTCCTTGTCGCGTACACGAAGGAATCGAGGCCACGCCACTTGACTTAATGATAGACCTTAAGATCAAACGCGCACGCGTTAAAACATTCGGCCACCCGACCCACGTCAAATCAAAAGACAACACTGAATTAACACGTGGTGATTGGGTGTCTTGACATAGAATTCCCGGGGTGAAATACCGATGAGGGCAGAGCTCCATTCTCACAAGGTGTCAGTGCTGGTACCTTCGGGGATAACAACAAATACAAAACCCAGCGTACAAATTGGCATTTAAAACCCTCTTCCACATGTCATTCATATCGGAATGAGTGTTGTATATACTTTACCTAATGTGTGCAGTGGTTCGGTATTGGTGTGGGCAACATCCACAAATACAGCATCAGTAGCATCTAATCGAACCACTGGAGGAGTTCCTTCAAAATATGGACCAGCTGGATCTAAACCTAAAAACATACAAAATACAAACTGTTATTGTCCCCCCAGTTGAATCTAAACCTAAAAATATACAATGCATATTATTATAGTCATATAGATTGATCTAAATCTAAAACCACACACAATGCAAATTGTCATAGTACTTCAGTTGGATCTCAACCTAAAAACATACAAAATACAAATTGTTATAGTCCTATAGTTTGGATCTAAATCTAAAACCACACAAAATGCAAATTGCCATAGTACTACAGTTGGATCTTAGCCTAAAAACATACAAAATACAAATTGTTATAGTCCTAAGGTTTGGATCTAAATCTAAAAACACACAAAATACAAATTGTTATACTGCTATAGTTTGGATCTAAATCTAAAAACACACAAAATGCTAACTGTTATACAGCTATAGTTTGGATCCAAATCTAAAAACACACAAAATGCTAACTGTTACAGTCCTATTGTTGGATCTAAACCTGAAAACATACATAATACAAATTGTTGTCCTACGACCTTTTAACTTATAAATGATACGAAAATGAAATGGGGTTTATCGTCTAATATTTTGGATCGACCAGGATAATGAAGACGGTCATACTATGCGCCACGGTGGCGCTACGATCTGCTCTTATTTCATAATAAAGAGTTCGTTTACGTGCACACCAATCTGTACAAGGGAACTTGCTCTTCGCATCCGGAAATTATATATTTTAACAATACACGAGGATGTACTGATTCTACTAATGGTTACCAAAAGTCTTCTACGGGTAATGAGGTTTAGTTTCTTGTGGTTATTGATGTTTTACTCACCAGTTATGGAGCCACGTTGGCTCAGTGAGTAAGACGCTGGCTCACTATCCTGGAGGACGAGGGTTCGATCCCCGGGTGTTGGCCGAGAAAGTTTATTGGGACTTTCGGGTGTGGTTTATCCTTGTCAGTGGTGCAGGACGGAAGGCCTGACAAGGACAGCTGTCTAGTCGTTCTTATGGGACGAAACCTCTAGGTCCTGTGTACACATTTGCGTGTATGTAAAGATCCCTTGTCAGTTAGAATTCGATATAAGAGTCGGTCGTAGCCCGCTGTCCGGGCAACATTTCCATCATAGCAAACTGTATGGCGTATACCCGTCTTCATTAGCCACGTCGGAGCAGAAGAGTAGGACGTTAAATCCCATTTCATTTCATTTCTCACCGCTTATTCTGAATATTCTGCTGGTATATTTAACTTCGGTACCAATATATCCTGCTATATGGGCTCCTAGACTATGGCCTATTAAATGTATAGCCCTAGAACTGACCCCAACGGCCACCAGTTTCCGTATCACTTCAGCACCTAGAGCTCCCACGATCCTTGTATTGGCTACAGCCTGATGGTAAACCAACACATCAGCACCTCTTCGCCAGTCCAGTGTTAAAATATTCATCGGTTCCTGAAACACATTTCCATACATATATATCTACATGTGGAGTCACAGGGACCGAGGTATTGCAGCTACTGCACGACCAAACGGTAAGCGAAACTGTGACAGTCACTGAGCAACTTCAGGATCAAGCTGTTTTAGGAACTGTGGCAGTCACTATGGAGATGGGATGGCTGGCGCTGCTAGATCAAGGGATTTGGGGAACTGTGATAGTCACTGTCGACAAAAAGGCACCGCGGAGGCTACAGGGTCACATGGGTTTAGGGCAGGCCGGGTCTTGTTTGTCGCTGGGGCATGGGGCAACTGTGGGGGAAGGAAAGGGAGAGGGGGGAAGCTGCATAAACAAAGCGGCTAGGCTGCAGACGTCCAGGGTTGCCGGGACCTTAAAACTAACATGTGTTATAAAAGATGCAAGAAGACAACCCAGTTAGAGAAGATTTGTGGACTATATATTGTGTGATGAAAAGTGAATCATTAATTGTATAACGTTAATAAAGTAACCACAAAATACAATGACAAGCATGAATAAAGTTAAGTTTCCAAAGAAATGATTGCATGTGTCACTTTCGAAAACCTCTCCTTAATTATCACCGGAAGTCAGGATGACACAGGCGTATTATATTGATTGATGTGTCTGCTTGAAGATATTATGAATCAAAGCGATATTTTGTGTAATCGTACAACTTTATTAGCTATACGAACATTTCAAATGAATCATGTTCCTTCTCCTCAGACTCGAGTGTCCGATATGTGTGACTCTCGTCCAATTCTACTCTTTTCAGTATCAAGATGAAATGTCCAGTACGTGTGTGACCTTGGACGTCTCCTCCAATTCTATTCTTTTCAGTATCAGGATGAAATTTCCAGTATTTCTGACAGATCGTCCAATTTTATTCTCTTCAGTATCAGGATGAAATGTCCAGTAAGAGTTAAAGTCTAGACATTGCCCAATGTGTGTGACCCCGGACATCTCGTCCAATTCTACTCTTTTCACTATCAGGATGAAATGTCCAGTATTTGTGACATGTCGCCTAATTTCATTCTCTTCAGTATCAGGATGAAATCTCCAGTATTTGTGACATATCGCCCAATTTTATTCTCTTCAGTATCATGATGAAATGTCCAGCAAGAGTTAAAGTCTAGACATTGTCTATGTAGCTTTTGAATCAGTACATGAGCAATGTCTAAACCTTAAATAAACTGGATATAGGTCTCGGGCATTTCCATAATTCTGTTTTATCTTCGGAAGTCAGGTTCATACGTCCCGGGGCTGAATATCATCGTGGCCGATTCCGGCCATAAACGTACTGACAAGGCGGTGTCTCTATGCTGACCAGGAAAGTGTGGCTAGATCCATTTTTGACACGGGGGTCACGGTGGCTAAGTGGGTAAGGCGCTGGCTCGCTAGCCTGGAGGTCGGGTGTTCGATCCCTGCATTGACCGAGAAAGTTCACCAAGATTTTCCGGCGTGGTTCCCCCTTGTCAGTGACGGAGGGCCTGACAAGGACAGCTGTCTAGTCATTCGGATGAGACGAAAAACCGAGGTCCCGGGTACACATTGGCGTGCACGTACAATATCCCTTGACAGTTGGAATTCGATATAATAGTAGGCCGTAGTGCCGCTGTCCGGGCAAAATTTCCCTCATAGCACACTGTATGGCGTATACCCGTCTTCATTTCATTTCATTTTTGACACATTGATACACACGTATAAGATATCCAAGATGAGTGGCCGGAAACCTGGCTGTCCGGTCCAACGGTCCTCCCTAACATTACAAACGTTAACATAGAAGCAAACAAAAAAGTGCTAACGTAAGTTAAGTTTGGTGGCTATGTACACTCCTCAAATAAGAAATGGATGTATGAGCATGCTCTATTTCATCTTTGTGCGCATGAACAAACAACAAGCTGACAAATGCACGACATAAATAAACTAGATATATAACTCGTGAGTCGTCGGTCATTTCCGCAATTCTTTATTATCTTCGGAAGTCAGGATAATGTACACAAGTATTTATACTTATTTTCTGATTTTATCTTCTTGTAATCAAAGTTCAAGATCCATGCATGTGTGTGTATGTAAGTATGGGGGTGGGGTTACATGAGGGCGTATTTTCTGACCGCCGAGCGATACAAAGCCATTTGCTGTTTAAATTGACAATTAAGGTGCTCGTATGATCACGGCGCTACTATCTACTCGCATTTCGATTTCCAAATTATATTTAGTTTAACATTCGAAATCCCTTGTTTGCATTGGTCTTGAACCTTTTATCCAAGCCTCCTCGCATTAAATCTGACAAGGACAGGTGTCTAGTCGTTCGGATGGGACGAAAAACCGAGGTCCCGTGTACACATTGGCGTACATGTAAAAGATCCCTTTACATTTGGAATTCGATATAACAGTAGGCGGTAACGCCGCTGTCGAGCAAACTTTCCCTCATAGCTCACTAATGTATGCCCGCCTTCATTAGCCCAGTCGAAACAGAAATGTAGCATGCTAAAACCCCATTTCATTTCATTTCGCATTAAACCTCTTCCTAAACACCCCGGCCCTTTTCAAAATGCATAATTAAACTTACCCTGTTATTAAATAATTCCTGGACCATCTTCATTATCCACAGTGTCCTTCCATTATCCTGATAACCGTGAATCAAAATAATCGTTTTCAAGTCTGGAACAATCAAGGTAGATAACTCTTGGATAGAAACGTCCCAGTCTAAACGAACGGAATGCAGGTGGTCTTGAAACACATAAATACCGACACCAACCCGTTCGGGAGACTGCGGTAATATGTTTGCAGAATTGTTGAACGGATATGTCGTGTTGTAACATCCGAACGGAGGATAGCAAACCGGGGTGTTATCCGACAGAAAGAACCAGCCTGAAATACATAACGAAATCTGTCAGTTAAGCCTGGGTTGAATGAAATATACTGTACCAACTATCCGAGAGAGAGAGAGAGAGAGAGAGAGAGGGGAGAGACAGAGAGAGAGAGAGAGAGAGGGGTCAATTCTAGGTTTCGACAGTAACGCGTATTATATCGTCTAACTTCTACCGGACATATACTGGGTCATTTAGGGATCAACATATGGTACAAGTTTATAGCAATAATTCGCATGCGCGTAGCGGTCTTTAGCAGTGGGAGGAGACTGCATGACCCGGAGAAAATCCACGAGGTTAGGCAGGCACGTACAAGTGTGGGATCGAAACCATGCCACTTGAGTTGACTCAATGACAAATTTCACGATCTAACACGCATGCTACTTGACTCAGTGATAGACTTTATGCTCTGACACGCATGCGTTAGACCATTCAGCAACCTAGAAGTCCATAAAATACAAAATTAAAAATTATTCCCAGTCTAGGAACGCGTCAAAACGTCAAGTGAATCGCAAAATCTCGTATTTCAATTTTAACAAATACGAAATAATTAAATTTCAATTCATATGTAGCCAAACAATCTTAAAAGTAAAATTTACCAAGTTACTTAATGGTAGAAAACAGATATTCTCTATAATAAACGATCATGGACACTAAAGAAAAATAATTATCCTGTCCTGAGCAATATTCGCAAAGTTATTTAATGGTAGAAAACAGGTTTTCTCTATATTAAACGATCATGGCCACTAAAGAAATATAATTATCCTATCCTAAGCAATATTCGCAAAGTTATTCTATGAGAATTATTACCTTAGACACCCTAGCATTCAACTATTTTCCTCTTCAATATCCGCACTCAGTTATTCTATGGCCGTTAACTTAGACATTCTAGCATTCAACTATTTTCCTCTTCATTATCCGCACTCAGTTTTTCTATGATCGTTAACTTAGACATTCTAGCATTCATTAAAATTTTGTCTCCTCTTTCCTGTCCGCGTAAAAATGATGGAGCTATTCCTCGCAGTTCACGGTACAACCCTGGGTTCAATAGTCGCACCACCAGTCACATGATGAAAATACACGAGATTACAAGTCACACAAAGTTTCCCACTATACAAAAACTGTACACTACGTCTCTTTGCTGCCATCTTAAATATCTTTAAGAAAACACAGTGCCAGAAAAGGTCAGTGGAATTCCTGTCTAACCGCCCTTCACAGCAACGCTGGTCGACTGAATGAATCCAAGTTAGAGACACGATTTAAAATAGTCGGCCAGATTCTGAATAAAATAACACGCCCCGCCCATATCAACTATACCAAAATTAGAAACACAGCGATGACGAATATAGATGAATAAAGATTACAACATGTTTTAATTAAAACGAAAGTAGATATTTAATTCGTGCCACGCCCCTCTTTTTGTATTGAATAATGAATTACTCGAATTGGCCCGGTCAGTGTAAGGTAATTACTTTTCTTATCGTAAATGATAAAAAAACAATTATGGAACAGAACTATATACTGAGCTATCGCTAAACCTTTAGATAAAGTTAAAAATTGCTAAGTATTAAATAACACAATAGTCACAAAGAACAAAGAAGTATAGGCTGAAGGGGGGGTGGATTCTATAATAACCACCGCGTTGACTCTAAATAATATGGTAGACTATGTTTGAGGTGTATTTGTTCAGCAAGAATAATTTCTAAGCATAACAGAATCCATAACAGACGATATTCTAATAACGCTACAGGTCGCACTAAATTAACCATATGGCTAAAGTCAATAAAAATGATATTATGTTAGGTTAAGAATAACCGAGTTAGATATATTAACCTATAGTAAATAAAAATGATATTATGTTATGCTAAAAATAACCTAGTTAGATATATTAACCTATAGTAAATAAAAATGACGTTATGTTAGGCTAAAAATAACCTAGTTCGATGTATTAACCTATGGTAAATAAAAATGATATTATGTTAGGCTAAAATAACCTAGTTAGATATATTCCATTAGCTCAGTCGGAGCAGAACAGTAGGACGTTAAAACCCCCATTCCATTTCATTTCCTCCATTCCTTGCATGACATAATTGAAAAGCCCAAACGAAAAATGCAGAGATTAATATTATACAAAATTACCCGAGTGTTTCCTGTGGTTTTATTTTATCAAGATATAAAGTCATCTAATTTTATGATTTCACACCCTAGTTTGTTTAGTTGGGTGTTTTACAGCGACGTGGGCGTGGAATAATCTAGAATATTTAAACATACATTATGAAAGAGCTAAATCTGTCTATTGCAGGTCTTTCTTTAGGCCTGAAATGTTATCTAAATTATTAATTAAACATTAATTAACCTATCCAGACCATAATCAACTCTAGATGGCATATAGCTAGCCTACGATCTTTGGTGGATTATGAACCGATTTACTGCATAACTTTCCTTCACGATTCAACGATTAATTGGATAATCGAGACTATGCTGTTTATTGTACTAACTTTAGTAATGATGATCGAGGCTAGGCGGAAATTTCAATCGCTTAGTTGAATCTCGGTTCATAGTGGATCAATTTGAATGAAACTTTCAGCAAATTGCCTTTACATTATCTAGGTTTTAACTATTATTGTGAGAACTGCCAACTCGTTATCGAATCTCCCATAATGTATCTTTAAATATAAATAAACACAAAACAAGGTGCATTTCAAAACCCTAAAAGCATTTTAAAAAAAAATAAAGCATCACTTGGACCTACCATAATTATCATTTCATATAACTTTCAGAATTATGGTTTTAACTTGCTTTTGTTTATAGCTGATAGGCGACAAAAACAAGTTCCTGCTCACTCAAGAACGTCACACCATATGAAGTGATATTTCACGAACGATTGTATCTCTAATACACCAGACAGGAAAAAGATTTTTAATCATTCGTTAGTCAGTAATGATTAATACACGGCGAGAATTATTCAATGTAGAGATTATTAATTTAAATGCGGATGATTATAATTATACAGAGGAAGTTTGACATGGGTTTAAACAGATTGAAACAATGTGTCATATCGCCCCCTTAGTTAATGTCTTTGTGCGTCATTTCCATTATTCGAAAAATATGAAATTAAATTTTCCGCGGCTTAATAAACTCTAAAATGTACTCATGTTGATTAATTCACATTTAATTAGGAAATCTAAATATCATCGGTAGATAATCTGCCGGCAACGATTCAATCGGATTAATAAGAGGCCCATCAAAAGATTTTAGTGAGAGAGAGAGAGAGAGAGAGAGAGAGAGAAATGGGGTTTAAAGTCTACTCGACACAAACTAGGTCATTTCGGGACTAACATATGGTTTAATTTTATTTCAATAATTCGCTTGCGTATAATGGTCTTTAGCAGTGGGAGGAAACCGGGGGACCCGGAGAAAACCCACGAGGTTGGACAGGTGACCCTACTCCTTGTCACGTACAACCGGGGATTCGAAACCACGCCAGTCGATTCAATGACAGACTTTATGATACAGCGCGCGCACGCTAACCATTCAGCCATCCAACCCCCCCCGAGAGAAAGAGAGAGAGAGAGAGAGAGAGAGAGAGAGAGAGAGAGATGGGTTTAACGTCCACTCGACACAAACTAGGTCATTTCGGGACTAACACATAGTTTCAATTTTATTGCAATAATTCGCTTGCGCGTAGGGGTCTTTAGCAGTGGGAGGAAACTGGAGGACCAGGAGAAAACCAACGAGGTTGGACAGGCGACCCTACTCCTTGTCACGTAAAGATTTTAGTGACGATTATATAGGTGGTGCTGGCTTGTGTGTGTGAAATAGCTTTATTTCACGCCCTCTTCCACCGGGGTGATATCGCAGACAAGGCTGGCTTGTTTTGGTCATGTCCTTTTTATATCGTCTGCAGTGTATGTCGAGCGTTGACAAATTTTCATCATGTCTTTGCAAAAACTGAACAGAATTGAAACATATTTAACGCGTGCGCATGAAATCATAAGGTCTGTCATTGAGTCAAGTGGCGTGGTTTCGATTCTCCGCTTGTACGTGACAAGGAGTAGGGTCGCCTTTCCAACCTCGTTGGTTTCCTCCCACTGCTAAAAAGCCCTACGAGCAAGCGAATTATTGAAATAAAATTGAACCATATGTTAGTCCCGAAATGGCCTACTTGGTGTCGAGTGGACTTTAAACCCGATTTTTTTCTTTCTCTGGAACATATTTAGACAGATGTTTCAACAAGCACAATATTGTAGTTTGCAATATTTGTAACCAATTCATGTCATATTTTGTATAAACATAATATATGCGCTCAGATATTTTGTTTTTTGTTTAAAAAAAAAAATATATGCGCTCAGATATTTTTTTTTTTTTTTTTAAAAAACTTATTTAGAAATGTACAATATATACAGTCGGCATTACACAAAATAGTTTATCAACTAGCCTCATGAATAAACAGCCATATACCAACTCTGATACATATTATATTATTGAAATTGGAGTGGCTAAGTGAGTAAGACGCTGGCTCGCTAGCCTGGAGGTCGAGTGTTCGATCCCTGCATTGACCGAGAAAGTTCATCGGGATTTTCAGACGTGGTTTCCCCTTGTCAGTGGTGCAGGACAGTTTGTATAGTCGTTCGGGTGGTTACGAAAAACCGAGGTCCTATGTATACATTGACGTGCACGTAAAAATCCCCTTGGCAATTGGAATTCGATATAAGATTAGGCCATGGTACCTAAAATTCCCTATAACACATTGTATGGCGTATTAGCCCAGTCGGAGCAGAACAGCAGGACGTTAAACCCCATTTCATTTCAATATTGAAATTGAAGGTAATTTAAGCCTTTCATATCAATTTCATCAAGATTAGGGTACATGTAGGTTTATATTAAATTACACCATAATCAAAAAATACAATAACCACTCTCTAATTTATTGTAATCTCAATCAATTAGATTATAGTTAATTAATCTTGGTGTATTGTGGAACTTAAGATGGTGTGAACA